AAATGATAATTATAATTTTTTGGATTAGTTTTTTTGCCTCTAAAAATTTTTAACTTAAAAACGGGTTTTTTTTTAGTTGTCTTAAATATAATTAATTTATTATATTTACAGTTTTAAATTTCACTGAATTTTGAAATGAATGTTCATTTTTGTGTATTTCACGTTTATACTGTTATGTAGACAAAAGAGTTGAGAATTGGACGCATAACTCTGTTACACAAGAAGAATAACAATTCAGGTAAAAAAGGATGTTGAGAATTGAAGCGAAAGGAAACTCAGTGCTGTGGACACATATTTACCATTCTTTCGAGGATGTTACATTAGGTTTATCTACTTTAGGCTATATGTGTACACGCGCCAAAAGAATATACTTATAGTTCATGTGTAAAGCCACTGTGGAATATAAAATTTCTTATTTATATTTTTATATGGGAAATTTATGTGTCAAATGTATATATATATTTGGTTTAAAAACTCATGATTTTCTAGAATCCATCTTTATTTCACCATTTTTTTTTTGTTAGAAAAAAATATGAAATAACAATTTTTTTATTTTACCATTTTTTTTAGTTGGAAAAAAGGTACTTTTTATTTTACCATTTTCTTAGTTGGAAAAACATAATTACTTGAAATAAAAATTTATTCTACCATCAAATAATTAAAAAAATGTCTAATTATATAGTATATCTGTTTTTTTAATTGAAAGTCGTATTTTTTATTCAAATATACACATATGTAATCGAAAAGGTTATTGAAAGAATTTCTCTACAGTGGTTTTACAATTATTTCCTTTTCGCAATTTTTCCTTTTATTTATGTGTCATAGAATAACCACAAGTCAAAGAGTATATGAATATACCAGACACTAGATTTGTTATATATTACCACAAAATTGTGGTTCACCCTGATTCACATTACTTGTCTATTTTTACATTCCTTTTTAGTGTAAAAACTAATTAAACGTTTATGGTTGAATATTTCATTCAAATTTTTTTCTAGTTAAAAAATATTATCCTCGTTAAATCTGTATTATTATTTTAGAACTATTTAATAATATTTTAATAAAATTTTATTATTTTATTAATATTTTATTAAAAACACTAAATATGTCATTATAATTAATGTTTCATTAATATTTTAATATTTTATTAAATTACTGTTACTACCAATTATTATCGATTATCAAAATTAGTTTTCCATAAAACTGCAATTATTCGAAACTACCATTAATTTGAAAAAATAAATTATATTTCGTGATTTGATTGTGTGATCAGGTTGTTAATAGATTGTTTAGTGCACTAAATGGCGAAACGGATATGCTTGATGTTGAAGAGAGATATATATGCATAGGGGTGCAAAAAAAAAATGGGGGATAAATTGCACTATCGAGGGCTGCTTATATTCTGATATCACCTGTAAATGTCCTCCTCACGTGTCGAGTAAAAATTTCGAGGGGTTGAGCAAACGATTAGGGAGAATCCATGTATAGTCTGACACGTGCCACTTGCGCCACGTAATGACTGACATTACTTTTCTATATATATATACACACAGCCCTACTAAAATCATGTTGCTGGTACTTTATCGTGTACAATGATTTATATCTGTCATACTTTATATCACTCGACTCTAAAATCTCTAACATATCAGAGATCAAAATATTTCCAAATCTTCCTCTTTACTTTCTTCTTTACACAGGGGGAGTTATTTTTAAATACATTTTTTTTTCATTTAATTTACTTTAAAAAATTTTTTAATTTTATATAAAATTTATTTTTTGTATAAAATTTATATTTTACAAAAAATAATTTTTTTTTTTATAAAATATATTTAAATTTAAAAAAAAATATTTTAAAAATACAAATTTTATTGGAATTTTTTTTTTTTAATTCCCGTACGGTACCATTGGTACGATTACTTGTGAGTTTATTGATAATTTTCGCGATCAGATCGTCATGCGAGTGCGTAGAATATCGCATTCCCGTGAAAATCGCTTATCGACCGGTTTCCATTTGCGAGTTTAATTTCAGTTCTCCAATTTGATACGCACACCGCAAAATATACTCAAGTTATAAAATGTAATTTTTGTTTTTCTTTTTTTATTTAAAAAAAAATGCACATATCTTCCTGGACTATTTTGCGATATGACATACTTATAAATGTCTAGAAATTGAAATTTGTACGAGAAAGAAATAAAATTCCTCTCTATAAGGATATAATCTATCCATATATTTTTCTATTACCATAAATTATTTATAAGTGAATGGTAGAATTTTTAAATTTATTTTCTTCCTAATTTCGTTTTATAATATTCGATAAGAAAATTAATTTATTAAAATATTGGTAATTTTCTTTTTATATATGTAAAATTAAAAAATTAATAATTATAATAATTAAAAATTAATAAAATAGTTATAATAAATACTAATTCGAATTTTTTTTTATCTAAAATTTATTTTTATAAGAAATAAGAATTATAAAAAAAATTAGTATTAATTTATCTTTACGTTGAAAAAAAATTATCAATTCAAAAAGTTTTGTTAGTAACGATAAAAAAGAGTTTAGAGAAAACGGCCCGCATATGCAAATGTCTTTTTTTATTTTTTGATTTTTGAAATCCAGTGTTTTAACCCGCATGACAGATTAATTTTGATTATTTTTCTCCTTTTTTTTCCAAAAGTCTTTTTGACTCAAATTCTATTTAATGTCCGTTTGTATATAATTAAAGTAATCTGCATTTTTTTTTATGAAATGGTATTAGCGCATAAATTCATTTCAATAATTAATTTAATATTAAATTTAAATATTAAAAATAATTTTATTTTTAATAATTGTCGAATTTTGCTTTATTATTTCTCTTTGTACTACTTTCTTTTATTTTCTATGATACATTTTTTTTTGTAAAGTTATTTATCGCAACATTTTTGAAAAATTATCGATTTTGTCCGTGTGTGTTCACTGGACCCAAACTTTACCTCATCTCCCATGGGAGAGAGAGATGTCACGAATCCCATGGAAACACGATCTTTCATCATCATACCTTGAGAGAGTCAATTTGAAATTTTATAAAAAAAATATATATCGTCACGTTAAGCTGATACACGTGAATATTTTTCCTAGTTTTTTTTATACATTTTTCGTCATATTTAGTTTTTTAAAAATATAATACAGATTTAAAAAGATAAAATAATTAGAAAATTAAAAAAAGGAAATAGAAATTAAACTTTCTTTTAAATACAATATCGTTTTAGGATATATATAAAAAAGAACACGTTATTATCTAAACTATGTCAACATTCGATTGAAAACTAGTTTTTTAATAGTTAACGAGGCAAAGTCCCATTTAAGAAATAATTATAATTATCGTTAGGATGAATTGAAATTTTTTTTCTCTTTATTAATGGTAGAAAATCTTTATTTTCTTAACTTTCATTAATTGTTAAAAATTTATTATTGTTGGATGCATATATATGTCTATTTGCACGATGTTAAAACCATCTTAAGTATAGACGAACGACCCTTCTCATTTACCTCCTATATAAAGAAAACTGCACGTGTGCAAAGACCTCATCTATGCATACTTGCTATGCTTCGCCATTATCTGATATAAGTACATCGTGCACTGGCCTTGCATTACAGAAGCACTGACTTTACCTCATGTGTTTTTCACCACACCATGATATTTCTTTTTTTTTCATTATTATTATTCACCTTTAAGAATAAATTGTAGGAAAAAAAGGTGCGCATTTACCACTCTGCATTATTCTAAATAATATATAAAGGAAATTATATTTATAGAAATAATCTACAACATTTATTTATTATTCTGATATGCAATAATCCTGCATGTAGGAATTATGAAAATTTTGTTTAGTTTCTGTTAGCAAAATGCAAATTAATTCTTAATTTTAGCAGATTTTGCCTAGAATTATTCATTAAGAATCTGTTTCCTCTCAGAGTTATTCCTTGATTATTTTCTGATGCAGAAATTCATTGATTTTCATTCACTGATCATAGAAGTGAATCAGCTCTCTAAATTTAAATCAGATTTAGGATCAAAACCGTTGGTGTCCAACTAAAATTTTGTTTAAACCTCCAAAATTTTTGTTCCGTTAGAAAAATTTTGGTTGTCCCGATATCAAACTTTAGTTACAACAAAAACCTTTTTGCTTTCTAATTATGGTTGTACTCTCTAAATTTGAATCAGCGGAATCTCGCTGATTCTCAGCTATAAGTATACCACTGATTCCAATCAGCTTATATGCACTGATGAATTAGTGAAATTTCACTGATTTTTCAGCGTATATCCGCTGATTGGTACCAGTGGTATACTTATCGCTGATTCAAATTTAGAGAGTATATAAATTTTGATTCAGACAATAAAAAATTTTGTTGAGGAATCTAAAAAGATTTTGAATCCCTAAATACCAACCAAACGTTATGTTGTCAAAACCAAACCATTTCAGTATGTAATAAATTAAAGATTTGTGCATTCCATTATTTTTTCTAATGTAAAGATTGATTAAAGATTTAACAATCATGGCAACAGTTCAGGGATAATATCAGAATTATTATAATGACGCGTTCGTTTTGAACAATATCGAATAATTAAGTACCATTTTTTTTTGAAGCTACACGAAACTACCTCAAGGACCTGCTGGTACTTTGGTTGAATGTAGCTTTGGGGAAAAAAATTTTTTTGCATGGTGATTGGTGACGTGTCAGTGAATCTTATGAAAGAAGCACCCAGCAATGCGAAAATATCACTGGTTGAGGACGACAAGGGCGCCTGACCTCCCTATCGTAGCAGGGTAGCCCGGTGCGTTTCAGGTAAAAGGGCAGCTGTCCACCAGGTGCCGAACCTTCCCCTTTTTCCTCTCCTGTATATATTGCTGGATCCTGACGTTTCAGCGGTTTCATTGAGATGGTGGGAATTCTCCTATTTTCATTGGCTGTTGGCTCGCGCGCGGCTCAGCGATACCCCAAGCTCCCGTCTGTAAACTCGTCAGTCGACCCTGGACGCTCGAAGAGCATTCAGCTGTTCCAGCAGCACGTGGCTGCGTTTTGCCTTTCTCTTCAATTTTATTAAAACACACGCGACTGTCGTTCAGGTTAGGTCTAGTTCTTCCCTTCTCTCTCTCTCTTACATACCGGGACCAGTTTCAATCAGTTGTTGAATCTTTAAGTCCTTTGTGAATCACGTGCTTCTCATTATGGAAAACCGGCAAGTTCTGTAGTTGAAATTTCTAGTCATTTTTTTTTGTTTTTTGTCATCAAAAACGTGTGAAACTCTTCCACAGTGACTTGGAATATAAATTGCGATTATAGTGTTAATCGCTGAAACAGTGAGATTGTGAAACAAAAGAGTGTAACTTTTTGGGTAAATTTTTTTTTTGCGGAAAGAAACGGCTGCATTTATGGGGGTGTCCGGAGAGTGCGCGGTTAAGGGTGCTGGCAGTAAAAGCCACCCCTGTCATTGCTGTGGACATACAGCAAATGCAAGTACAAGTGTTTCATTGCATCACACATCACATCATCATCATCATCATAATCACAATCACAATCAGCAACAGCATCACAATCAACATCTTCAAACTCATCATCAAACGAAACATCAAGTTGAATCACATCAGAATACAACTAGTGATACCAAAATTTTGGCACCATTGCGCAATAAAATGAGGGTGCTCAAGAAACTCAAACGAAAAATGGGCTTAGGTGAGATGATTATTCTTTTAAAATAATAATTATATGATAGGGTAGAACTGTTTTCCTTTTTCTGGTAACAGTTTTGCAGTATCATATATATAACTTTTAGTAGGTTTTTCGAATCTGTAGTTTCTTATTGCTATAAAGGGAATGAGAATTCTTTTCCTGTTGTTGTTTGTTGATTATCGAACAGAGGAATATTTTCTTTAGGGTCTCTCTGAAGTTTTGTTTAACGGTAGTTTTGTATTGTAAATAAATTTAGGTTTTAATACTCCTTTCAATGAAAGTGAGTCCAATAAGTATTAGAATTAGTCCTATACTATTACTAGATATGAATTATTAGCAATATTGATGAGTAAAAAAGAATATGCTATAGAATTTGCAAAATATTTTAAAATTTCCACAGTTTATGCTCCTAAATACATTTCGGGTAAATGATTTTCTATAATCTCTATCTGAAATTAACTGAACTCGCAACTAAATGTAAATTTCAAAAAGAATGTTTGCTTTTGTATGTAATTTAAAACCATTTTCAGATGTTTCGGTTATTAATAAATGTTAACCGGCATTTTTCTCTTTTTATGATACAACAATTCACGTAACAACGTTCCAATTGCATGCTGGGAATATATACTTGACTGACTTTTACATACGTATAATGTTTCCATACACGCATGACTAGGATTATATTCGTAACCTTTACACAGGGTTTTTTCCAATATTTTTTATTTTTCAAAAAATGATGCTATTTTTTATTACCACATTCGTTATAGTATTTTGATTATTGAAAGCAAAAATCAAAAATAGTTGAAGGTGTTATAAAGGGAAAAAAAAATCTCGTGAGTTTTTAATCAGTAAACAGAACGGCATCTTTGAAATCTCTCTCTCATTTGCGCAACATCCCTTGAAAAATAGAAGTATGCTCTAGATTCCAAGTTTTTTTAGGTTACCCGTAAATATGCAAGCTCTAGAAAACTTTGAAAAACTCTCAAATTGACCGACTTTTTCCTTCAATAGATGATTTATACTCTCATTGCGGACTTTGGCACGAGTTTCTGTTTCTTTTACCCTTTTGTGTATTTTTGTCGTTCATTTAATACTTTTGTCAGTTAGAACCCTTTTTATTATCATTATTATTATTATCATCATTATTATTGTCTTCATCCCTGCAGTCATTGTACTTCGGTTACCATCCCATTTCCTTGGGAGTTTTTGTTTTTTCCTTCTATTCTTGAAAGTCCGTTACTTGACAATAATTGCAGTCTTCCTTTTATTGTAAAAAGCAAATACGAACCTGGAGACAAGATTAATAAATGTCAAGAAAACGCATTATCTAATTTATTTAAAAAAAAAAATTGTATTTTTTTATACTACATACATAATAATGAAAATAAGATATGAATGAAAGTGAAAATTTTGATATTATAGATAGAAATTAAAGATTAGAAATCTTGAGAATCATGATAATAATAATAAATTTCGAGTTCAAAGTGAATCGTTTTTTGTGCGCCGTTATTTGAAATTGTAAGGTCAAAGGGCTATGAAATGACGATGGATTTTCTCTTTCGTATTTAAGAAGCAACGGGTTTTCTCTTATATATATACCCGGGAGAGATTGCGACTTATGAGACGACCAACGCTGAGTCCATTACTGTTATAGTTTACTTTGTGGGAGACTCATCTAAAAGCATCCATTCAGAAAACAGTACTCACTGTGTTTTGTTTTTTTCTGCTTTTTAGTTCATTTCGCTTATCTTTAAATTGGCTGTCTTTTCTCGATTTCAAAAAAAAAATGTTTAGAATTAGAAAAATAAAAATTTTATTTTTGAAAAGTTTATTTTATCCGACTTTTTAAGTCCTTGCTCTTGGATTTCGAAGTTTATTCTTTTTCTAAAGGGGGGAAAGAAAAAGAAGGGAACAGCTGGTTCGAAAGTTACCCTCCTACTTTTCAACCCCCACTTCCTTTTTGGCACCCTTCTTGGGAGTAACAAGATTTGTTGCGGTATACAAAACAGCTGACGAATCCACCTTTTAATTTTCGAATATGTACCTGAGTCTATACAGAGATTCTCATCCCAAAAACGATGTCTCCTTTTGCCTTCATAAATTTCTTTTTTTTTCTTGTTAACTTTTCCGGGAATTCCTCACCATTTGGAACACATATGTTTTTACCTGTGGTATATATAGCTTAGGTATACCGAAAAATTAGTAAGCAAATCTCGATGGTTCGAATATTTTCAAAGGTCTCTTTCTCAATTTTATTCTAATTCTTTCTCGAATTAATAATTGTTTCTTAGAACTAATTTCAATTTTCTAATTATAGAAGTAATTTTTTAACGAATTTTGTGTGATTTTTTTTTTAGAGAAATGTTTTGATAGAGTAATTTTGAAAGAGGGAAATAAGAAAAGGGAGAAGAGATTTCTGAAAGTCGATGAAAAAGTAGTGATTTACCCAATGTGATCACGATTTGCTATGTTTCTTGTATTATATCCAAACGCGTTGGGTTTTTCCATTCGTCTCACGCCTCTTCTTGTTCCTTCCTTCTTGAATCTTTTTCTCGTGGTGAATCAGTCATCAGAGAAATTCCCAGTCACGGATTCCCACAACAAGTGGTATTACCATTTCTCTTCTCTCATCTTAAGCTAATTTAGAAAATTGCAACCCACAGAAACTATCAGAAGTAGTTTGTAAAACGTTCCTCGAAATTGCTTTTCATTTATTATATACGGAATGAAGAATAAAGAATTTAGTCTTTCGAAAAAATGCTTTTGATAACTGAAAACTAGAAAAAAAATAATAACGGATGGTTTGGTAATTACTAAATAACAGTAGTAATAGATTAATTACTGTCATTTTGTAACTAGCAGTGATGGCAAATACTGTTATTAGTCACTAGGGTTGTATTTACAGATCAACGGTAATTATCACCAATGTTATTACAATTTACCACCTGTTGCAGCTATTGTTTTTGAAAATTAAAAGTATTTGCTGTATAAAATAGAATAGAATGCTACTGGAATTTTTACAACATTTCCAAAGGTGTACAACACTTTAGAAGGTGTATAATACAAAAGAAACTGTACAATGCCACAAGAATTAGAATACAACAGTTAATGCTTGATCTAAAATTTACGGAATACATCCAAAAGTTACGGATTTTTCAGAATTACCAACAAATACTTAATTACGAAAGTTTTCCTTCAATTAGGATACTAAATACTTTCCTTAAGAACCAAAATAGACCCAAAAAAATTAAGAACAATTCACTATTTATCAATGAAAAGAAGAAATAAAACAAATTTTTGCAAATCCGTAAACAGTCGGCTTTTGAAAATTGAATTATTAGATTTGAAAGAAGAGTTCGAAAGGGCATGTTTGCCTATATATTTCCACGTTCGTCTTCTTTCTCATCGGCAATCACTGACCATCCTCACATGTATAGAACAAACACATGGACAGAAAGCTCAACACATTTAACCACCCACCATATAGAACTCGTCGCGAAACGCCTATGACGTCACATGGTGTATAACCTGTCTTTGTTCCCACACATGCCATTTCGCGAACCGGTTTTCCATGTTCCGTATTACCTATCAGCTGAGGTTTGCAACTATGTTTATACCTGTATATATATATGTATATAAACACATATCGGTGATTCAGAGCCTGGACTTCCCGACCGAGTTCAAATACTTTTTCTTATAGAATAATTGCGTAATGATCAATGATCGGTGTTTATACTTGAAATATTGTAGAATTGATCTTTACGTATTTCACAATAATGTACTTCGAGAGGCGAATTAATGATAAAGAATAAATGCGATAAATATTTGCTTTTTTTTCTAACTTTTCTTTGTTGAAATAATTCATTTATAATTAGTATTGAAATCAAAATATCTTGATGACCTCGAATTGATAGGATCTTGATCACATCTTCTTTTGATATTTAAATATGTTATCACAGAAATGGTATTTATGTTCATCACATCATGTACACATTTCCTGGAAGTTGTTTTATCACTCCAAGAGATTATTTCTATTTGTCGTCTCTCTGCGTTTGTTCAATCTTTCGTTTTTATAATTAAGAAAATTATTTTCAATTAAAAAACATTTTTGTTTGGTGTTTTTTGATTCTGCAAATGAACAGATGGGGTTTTTTTTTTTTTTTTTTTGACGATTTAAAAGAAAATGTCGAGGGTATATTGAGAGCGGAAATAGAGACCGGAAGACGATGTCGAGAAGGGCAAGTACCTGAAGTGTTCGAAAATGTTCTTTTAAAAGTTTTTCTAGGCCTCTAAGAAAAACGTCTTCGAAGAGGCTATTGTTTTTTTTTCTTCTTTTTAGTTCGTCTTAATGAGCATGGGTGGGGATTATCTTTATGCATTTTTAAGTAGAAATTCAGGAAACAAGGTCTGTGAACACCCTCTCAGTAGCACGTGCGTGGCGGAAACATTGTCGGAGGCTGAAGTAACATATAAAATCGCGCGTTTGAAATTAATTTTTCAGTCATTAATTTTTGTTGAGTATATTCTTTGTTATAACAAATAATATAACAAATTTTATTAATTGACTTTTATCACTCTTTGAAAATTGATAGTTGTCTTTCATCAAATACCGATAAAAAATGTGAATAACCGGTTTCCTCTTTAGTTTTATCTCTTTGCAACAGTATTTGATAGAGACAAATAAGTGATAGTGATGTGATTCTGTTGAACATCTGTCGACACTTAAGGAATCGTGTTTGGGAGGAGGATGCATATTAAAATGTACAGCATCCTCGATTTCGAGTTCTCCAGATGGATTGTTATAGGAAAATCTAAAACTTTCATTTATTTCAAAATTCTTGATTTGTATTATTTAGTTTTTTATGTCGATAATTACTTTTTTCCCCTCTGCATCTGTATTATTAATTTTATTTGTTGCATTATGTTTTGGAATTTAATTTTGCGAATATTCGAGTGTTAATCGGAATATTGGAAAATATTTGGTATGAAGAGGAGTTGGTGCA